CTTGTTGTGGGAAAGTGTTGCATGTTTTGTAACCTGCGAAAATCTATAAACCAAGAAGCCTTCTGATTCAGGTGGTGTTTTGACTCTGTTAACCAAGCAAAAGTGTTTGGAAAAGCTGGAAGGTCAAAATAGGAGTTTGGGAGCCTTTGGAATTAGGATAGTTTTTATTGGCCAGGTGTGATTGGACACTCAAAGAATTTGTCTCAGCACACAAGTTCTCGGCGTTCATATGAACAACAAAGTGATAAGTCATAGATCATAAAATCAAAAGATACAATCATAATTCATAGAAGTGATGAGATACTAATAGGAGGGGATGCTGTGGCTCAGTGGCTGAGCTTGTCGATCAGAAAAGTCGGCAGTTGAATGGTTCAAATCCCTAGCGCCGGGTAACGGAGTGAGCTCCCGTGACTTGTCCCAGCTTCTGTCAAACTAGCAGTTCGAAAGCACATTAAAAAAAATGCAAATAGAAAAATAGGAACCACCTTTGGTGGGAAGGTAACAGTGTTCTGTGCACCTTCAGTGTTTAGTCATGCCGGCCACATAACCACGGAGACGTCTTTGGACAGCCCTGGCTCTTTGGCTTTGAAACAGAGATGAGCACTGCCCCCTAGAGTTGGGAACGACTGGCACACATGTGCGAAGGGAACCTTTACCTTTACTAATAGAGAAAATAGTAGAAACATTGAGAAGATGAAAAGGATATTAGCAATGTAGCCCTACTACATAAATCAATATCTTTAGGCCTAAGACAGCGCTATGGGAATTAAGTGTTTTAACAGAACAATAGCATAGGGTATGTGTGGGGAGGACTTTGTGTCTATCTATTGTTTTGGGCTGCATTGCCCTATAGCAGCATCCTAAGGGGAGAAGTTGAAGCAGTTTATGTCCAGGATGTGAGGGGTCTGTAGATCTTTTCTCAGCCCCCTTTCTGGCTCGTTCAAGTACACCGGTCCTCAATGGAAGCCATTCCATTTGCTGGAATGAGAATGGAGGAAGGGCTTTTGTCTTCCTCATAGACCAGAGTTATCCAGCCTTGGCAACTTAAGACTTGTGAACTTCAACTCCCAAAATTCCTCAGCCAGATTTGTTTAACCTTAAACACTCAAAGAGCCACAAAGGTCCTAATCGGAAGCCCCCCATTCAATTCTGAAGCCAACCGGAAGTCTGGTTCCCCCACCATAGTCTCCTCCTAGTGTGACGTCCTTTTTCCTCTACCTGTTCTAGCCAAAAGCCCTACCAATTCTGAAGTCGACCCGAAGTCCAATTCCCCCACCATAGAATCTCTTCCTAGCACCGCATCTTTTTTCCTCTACCTGTCCTAACCGAAAGCCCTATCAATGTGGAGCTGACCAGAAAACCCTCCCCTTGCCATAAAGTCTCCTCCTGGCGTGCCCTGATTCCCCCGCCCCCCAACTGGAAGCTCCTCTCAAAATTGTGGTGCTGACTGGTGACAGGGAGCCGCAGCTGAGGGATGAAAGAGCCACATGCAGCTCCAGAGCCGCGGGTTGCTGATCCCTGGGCTAGGAGCAGAACAAGGGTTTCAAGGACCGATGCTAATCTGAGGACCTGGGTCTGTCTTTTCAGCTTTGAAACCATGTTTTGGAATGGAGGGTTTTGGAGATGGACTTTGGGGCTGCAACTGTACCTCCTACTTCTGACTTCGCGGACACAGGCTGGCACAGAAGCCTCAGCTCCACCTCCCATCACAGCAGCCTCCTTTCTGCAGGACCTTTTCCTCCGTTATGGTGAAGAGGACAAGCTCAGCCTGCAGCAGTTGAAATCTCTGTTGAGACACCTGCATGTGGGCGTCGAACGGCAGAATGTCAGTCACACGCGGCGGAGGCAGCCCCACCATCGAAATATCTCCTGGGTAATCACCTCTGCTTTCCTATTATGACTCTGCCCTCCTTTTGATTTCAGAGAGAGGTCCGTGGAGAATCTTCATCACCCCCCACACCCCAATTATTACATTTTAATGTAACATCCAGAGAACCTTTGCACATGTGTAGATTGACATGGAATACAGGATTTATGCTGCTTTTATAAGAATTTAAGCCTTAACCAGAGAGGGAGGGGGTAAGGAGGGATGGGTGGATGGATGGATGGATGGATGGATGGATGGATGGATGGGTGGATGGGTGGGTGGAAGGAAGGAAGGAAGGAAGGAAGGAAGGAAGGA